AGAACTCTCCAAAATGATGCTGCCCTTGATAACTTGGAGGAGTTTCTCTGAGGGATAACTTACTTACCGTTTATATACAACCTGTGTGCAGTTATTCGTATGATGAGAACTACCCAATTAGAAGCAGTGAAACAAAATTTATCCTGACTTTAGCTGAAGAGATCAATGTATCACACTGGCCTTGGAAGGCATTCAAATAAGCTTCAACTCACTGCTCAGGGTTGTTATCATTGATATAATTGCCCTAGATTTCCTCCTTGCGGGCCATGGCAAAGCATGTATAATTACTAATGCATCCTGCTGTACCTAGATTAATACCTTGGGCCAAGGGGAAAAGTCAATACAGAAAAATCCCTAGGAGCCTGCCAAAGTAGACCTTCTTGGTTTGTGGGATTCGTTCAGCTGACTGGGTCTGAACCCCTGAGGAGTGCAATTACTAATACTAACGGTTGGCCTCTTCCTGCTACTTAGAATCCTGTTGATATTAGCTATATGAAAGAAATTGAATGGATTTTGCCCCAGCCTCTGGTGGGCAGTTTAATCAGAATGATGAACAGAGTGACATACTAATGGGAAAGTTTGCCAGAAGCCAACAAAGTGTAGAAACAATGGGTAGATATTCCTGGGAGACAATTCTTCATGAGTCTCTCCTAATTCTTTTTTTTTTTTTTTAAGATTTTATTTATTTATTTGAGAGAGAGAGAGAATGAGAGATAGAAAGCACGAGAGGGAAGAGGGTCAGAGGGAGAAGCAGACTCCCTGCTGAGCAGGAAGCCCGATGTGGGACTCGATCCCGGGACTCCAGGATCATGACCTGAGCCGAAGGCAGTCGCTTAACCAACTGAGCCACTCAGGCGCCCAAGTCTCTCCTAATTCTGCACATCTTGGGAATATAGGCGTTGACTGCATGGGGTGGGCAGAATAATGGCTCTCCCAGGAAGTCCACATCCTAGTCCACAGAACCTGTGATTCTGTCACTTAAAATAAAAAAGGGATTCTGCAGCTGTGATTAAGGGTCCTGAGATAGGGAGATTATCCTGGATTATCTGGGAGGGCCCAATGTCCTCACAAGGGTCCTTATAAGTGTGTATGTGGGGGTACAGTAGGTCAGAGATTGACAATGGAAGCAGAGGTTGGAATGACTCGGCCCCAAGCCAAGGAATGTGGGCAGTCTCTACAGGCTGAAAAAGGCAAGGAACAGATTCTCCTCTAGAGGCTCCAGAAGGAACACAGCCTCTGATTTTTGCCCTTTAAGATCCATTTTGGAGGGGACGGGGGTAGGAGGGTGGGGAATGGGGTAATTGGATGAAGGGCATTAAGGAGGGCGCTTGATGTAATGAGAAGTGGGTGTTATATGCGACTGATGAATCACTAAATTCTACCCTGAAATTAATAATACACAATATGTTAACTAACTTGAATTTAAGTAAAACAACAACAAAAAATGAAAACAAAAAGGTACAAACTTTCAGGTATAAGATAAATAAGCTCTGGGGATGTAATACAGCATCATCACTATAGTTAACAATATTATATTGAATATTTGAAGGTTACTAAGGGAGTATATCTTAAAAGTTCAAATCACAAAGAAAAAATATAACTGTGAGATGATGGATGTTAATCTTATTGTGGTATCATTTTGCAATATATGCATATATCAAATCGTGTTGCACACCTTAAAATTTATACAATGTTATATGTCAGTTATATCTCAGTAAAACTGGGAAGAAAAAGAAAAAGAAGATCCACTTTGGACTTCTGACCACCAGAATTGTAAAATAATAAATCTCTGTTGTTTTAAACCACTGAATTTGTGGTTATTTGTCACAGCTGCAATAGAAAACTAATACACTGCCTTTATTCTGGACTCATTTTTCAAGGATATTTGTATAGTGAACAGTCTTTAAGGATATCATATCTCCCCCCAGAGCAAAGGGCTGCAGGTTTACTGCCCACTTAAAAGATCCAAGTTCCCCCTGCTTGGGGTTCCTCTCTTAGAATGCAACCCACTGCATGCACAGGTGTCATTGGCCCTCTCTGCATCATTCTGTGGAAGTTAGGGCTTGGGGAACTGGGGCAAGAAAATGCTGATACACTGCCTACTGCTATTGCTGTTAGTAACAGAATACTTTGTTTGTGACCTAGGAGTCTTGTATCCTCTGCCAGCAGTCACAAAACTGTTAGTTTGTAATAGGGAAAAAATCTCAGACTGTTCACAATTCTTGATAGATTATAGAACAACTCAGATAACCCAGAGTGTTGTTCTTTGATGAGAGCTCATGAAAATTTTCTAGGCGTCAGAACCAAAGCTTAGTTATAGAAGGATAAGATGGCACCAAGAGGAGACAGTTTTGAGGATGGAGACATTACCCCGAGGCAGAAGAACCTCTGTAGGATGTTATTGCTGTTTATCTAGGCCAGAGTTAATAAGGATGTGAGCTAGACTGGTGGCAGAAGAATAGTTTTAGATAATAGAAGCTATGTTACAAGCGATGAATTGTTAAGTAAATTGTTCTAATAATTATGATGGAGGACCAGAGGAAAAAATTGATTCCGTAGGTGTGGCTGTTCAAGGTAGGTGTTAGAGAGGAGGCAGCAATAATGGGCACAATGTGGGGGAAGGGGATGTAATGACTTGAAGGAATGACCAGAGGTGAGGAGAATATAACGTAATGTACAAGTGCTTCTACAGATGGTGATAAATATGTATGACCGCAGTGGAGTCTATCTATAGGTTAATGGGAATGAAACTTGAAAGCCAGACTAGGAGTTAGTAGAAGGCCTTGAATTTCTAGTTAAGAAGCTTGGGCTTTATTTTCCAGGCAGCACGGAACTTCTGATGGATTTTGAATAGGGGAGTAATACCACTTATTTGACATGACATGTGTACTACCTTGTGTTGAAGAAGTTATGTAAGTTCTTGGACACAGCATTAAAATGTGCTCAATAAATTCGTGTTGGTTGAATTAATTGCCTCATTTTGTCAAGGAAGAATTCTTCTATCATGTGAACAATAACCTTTTGTCATTGTAGTTGAAGTTTTGATATCTGGCTCACATTGGCTTGTGAGAACTGACTGGTAAAATTTCAGGAATCTTGTGAGCAAGTTGATGTCAAATTGGTAGCTTGAGATTGGCTATTCTGCAAATATTTACATCAAGGAAATTGGCAAACGCTATAAATCAAAGCTTGTTTTCTGAAGACTTGGTCATTAAACATTTACCAGCTTGTCACTGCTATCTCCCTCACTTCTCCTACTCCCCATCCAACCAGCCTCTAGGTTTTCTGAGGACACGGACTGAGTCTTATTTGTCTTGTATTCTCAACATAGTACTTGGACATTGGTCATGTTCAATTGATGTTTGTAGAATGAATGAAATATATGCTCCTGTTATTTTTCTCCAACTGACCATTTAATGAAAAAAATCATTTAGAAGAAAATGCCTCAAGTAGACATGTAGACCCTGGGGTTCCAATCAGATCCTAGGCCTGTCTTTTAAGTGGTTTTGGAACACAGCCACTAATTCATAGACTACTATGTCTACTGGTTGTCTATGAATTGCTTTGTGCTGCAAGGGCAGAGCTGATTATTTGAGATAGAGAATGCATGCCCTGCAAAGCCTAACATATTTACCATCTAGTCTTCCCTGGAAATTTGTTGATCCTTAACTAGACCCCCACTACCAACGGTTCCTTAAAAGGTAGGATTATTTCTAAAAAGTGGCATATATACTATATATTCTTAGAGATAAATTGTTATTATTCCATAAACTGTGCACATACATTTTTTTAAAGAAATTAGACACAGGTAATTACAGAGCAATTTCATAAGAACAGGGTTAGAGATAATGATTGGTTGTCTGATGGTGTAATTTTCTACCTTGAGAAGTAGTGATTACCTCACATCTAAACACATGCAAGTAGTCACCCTTTAGTAGTGTGCATCCTTCAGCAGAGAGCCTTGTGTATGTAATCTCTTCACCTTATTGAGCAATGCTGCCAGAAATCTAGCTGATGTCAAATGATGTCTATATTGCAATTTATTCTTTCAGAACTCTTAACACCCAGATTCCCAAGGGGTTCTGCTAAAAAGTGGTCTTCATGGGACTATATTTTTTGCCACAACAGAGCTGGATTGTTTAAAAACAGAAATACAGAATGTGTCTTAGCATATTTGGGTCATAGCGGGCTGTCAGTTTCCATTTGCGCAATACTATTTAATAAAGTTAATGTCCTGGGTTCTATATTCCTTGCAAGTCATCTTTAAAGGCAAACGATGACGTCATTTCAAATTCAGGATTGTCAGGGGAAAAATAATTAAGTAACTTATTTCTTATTTGTACCCATACTGTACTGAAAATGATTTTTGAACAACTACTTAAGTCTGAACTGCAGCAATAAATTAATATGATAGACTATAAAATGAACACCTCAACTACATTAAACTGCCCCAGGAGGGTGGGCTGTCCTTGGGCACCCTGTTTCTGCCCCACATATTTTGAGGGCCAGTGTTCAGAGAATTCAGGGCGCTTGCGCAGGGCTGTCAGAGCGGAAGGAGAGGCCACGGTCAACAGAGGTGGCCTGATCGCCAGACCAAACCGGGCTGGCCCGAGGGCGGGACACCGTGGCCATGGAGCAATGACTCCGCGGGATTGCGCAGGGTGGCTGCGGCCCATTTTCCTTTCGTTATGATGAAGATCGTTCCTCCATTAACTTAGCTTCCAACTCTCGCGCACCGGGCAGTAAGATCAAGCATTGAAAATCCTGCAAGTAGGCAAATGGAAGGATGTTAAAACGATAGCACAACTCGCCAGCATTTTCACTGCCCTCCCGTCAAGGTCCTGGTTGCGCGCAGAGGCCAGGCGAGGCGGGCCTGACCGCACGGAGGGGCTGGGCACCGCCAACGCGGGGTCTGCGGGGGGCGGGGGACGCGACCCGGACCACCAGCGCGCAGGCGCATTCGCAGCTGCAGCGCCCAGTGGTCGAGCCCCCTTTCTAGTAATTTCGCTAGCCGTGAGGTCATCACAGCGCGCCGTTACAGCGCCTCCCAGAACCCCATAATTTATTTTTTGGTTGGGGGATGAAATGAAATGAACTGATCTCTCCCACCCCGTTTTGCTTTTAGTCCTCCACTCTGGCTGTGCCTACCCTCTGAGGAATGGAGCGGGACAGGGAAAGAAAGGCAGCCGGAGGTGGCAGCGGGGCCGGCCGGGGATGACTCGGCGACGCCGCCAGCCGAGTTACCCGGCGTGCCCTGCGCGGCGCCGGCCGAGAGACGTGGGGGGAGGGGCGGGGAGGAGGAAGAGCGGCGGCGGCTGCGGATGTCGCTGCGACCGAGCGGCGTCTGAACACACGGCGGCTGCCGAACGCCCGACGCGGGCCTGCGCCGGAGCCCACACCGAGCTCCGCGGCCCCTCGCCTGCCAGGGCGGCCTTGCACCCGCTGTCACTGAGGCGGCGTGCCCCGCATTCTCCGCCGTCCGGGCCGGCCGGCTCTGCCGTCTGCTGGCTCCCCCTCGCTCACCCGCTCCCTCCTGCGCGCCTGAGTCACCGCCGCCGCCGCCATGGCCGAGAGTGGTGAAAGCGGCGGCCCTCCGAGCTCCCAGGACAGCGCCGCCGCGGCCGAGGGTGCCGGCGCCCCCGCGGCCGCTGCCTCTGCGGAGCCCAAGATCATGAAAGTCACCGTGAAGACCCCGAAGGAGAAGGAGGAGTTCGCTGTGCCCGAGAATAGCTCCGTCCAGCAGGTGAGGGCCGCCCTGGCCTCGGGCCCGGGGTGGGGGTGGCGGCAGGACCTCCGCCCGCGGCAGGAGGAGACGGTTTTGGAAGGGTCTGGGAGGGGATCGTCCCCCGAGGTGCCCTGGGCACTTCTCGCGGGTCTCTTCTCGAGTTAGATCACACCCAAGTTCCTGGGTGTGCTCCTTGGGACACCGCAGAGGCTTCTGACGGGGCCCCGCGGCCTGTTTGTGGGACGCGCCGACGCCGCTTCCCTCCGCGCCCTCCTCCTGCTCCCGCGTCGGCCGACCACCAGCCTCCTCCTCCAGCTCCCCGCCCCTCGCCGCCTCCCTCCGGCTGCTCACAAAGGAAAGGGACCACCGCCGCGCTCCGGGCGGGGTGGGCTGGGGCGAGGGTTCGCTTTAGCCTCCTCTGCGGTTTTGTCTCATGAATTAAAAAAAAAAAGGGGGGGGTGCTCATTGTTTTACCTGCCTGCGGATTAAGGTAGATTTTGGGGCGAGGAGCACGTGTACATTTAGTTTTGCGTTTTGATTGCTGAAATTTGTCCAGCCTTCCAGCCTTCAAGAAGAAATTAACCATGACGTAGAAATTGTTTTCAGCCACATGTTAATAATACTAGGCTTAAGGAGAAAGGTGGATGACTTTCATTGATGACTTGCTGTTTGCTTTTCAGTATATTTATCTCTCATCCCTTCCTTAGGTGCCAGTCATTGGGAAGGTTTTTGTTTGATTTTAGAGGGATGGTAGCCACGTTTTGCAGATTGCAATCGAATAAAAGAAAAATAAAACTGGAATTAATGGAGAATATTACCGAATAATTTACTACTTAAAATCTGTTCAGGTATAGAAGCTTGGCTGTTAAGAATCTTGAGGAATTCAAGATTCAAAACAAATTTGCTTTAGCTTATTGTTGAATGTACATCCCAGGATATTTTTCATAATTGTTGAATTGATCTCTGACGATCTAAAATAATGCGAAGTCTATGAGGAAACAGTTCCTGAGACGTACATGTGAGTTTCCTCAGGAACAGTAAATGGAGTATTGATTTATATAGTTCTAAAAGGTGGTGTGTTTTGTGAAGCGTTAAATAGAGTGTACCATCAAGTGAGAAACTTTTACCACTTACTGAATCACCTTTTGGTGGTGGGGGGGGTGTCCTCAATTATATAAAAATTTCCTTTAACATTTTTATGTTTTCCAACATACAGGAAAGTTGAAAGAATGGTACAGTGAATATTCACATGTGCATCACCTACAATTGACATTTTGCTGTATTTGCTCTATCACACAACTAATCACTATTGGTTCCTTTTGTTTTTTGGAGGCATTTCAGAGTAAGTTGCAAATACCATTAAATGTTTTTCACAAATACATGCACCTGTATGATCCAAAAGCTTTATCAAGATGTAGAACTTTATAGTTGACTAGAAAGTTCCCTCTTGGCCTTTCCTAGTTCGTTCAGTCCCACTCCCCTCCATCCACCATTGATTTGATTTTTTTTCACCATTAGTTTTGCCTGTTCTAGAACTTCACATAAGTGGGGTTATATAGTATGTCCTCTCTTCGGTAAGGTTTTTGCACTCAGCATAATGTTTTTGAGATTCTTTCTTGTGTATACCAGTAATTTCTTCTTATTGCTGTGTTTTCCACTGTATCACTATGCCATAATAAATGCACTCTCCTGTTGAGGGCCACCTGGTCTTCTTGCAGTTGGTTGCTATGAACCCTTTTGTACAAATTTTTTTTGTTGGACAGATGTGTTTCTCCTGTTAAATACTTGGAAGTGGAATGACTGGATGATAGGATCGCTGTAGGCTTAGTTTTATAAGAAACTATGTTTTTAAAGAGTTCTAATGTCCTACAGTTCCACCAAAGGTGCTTGGGAGTTCCTGTTGCTCCATATCCCTGCTAGCATTTGATAGTATCAGTCTTTTTCATTTTAGCTCTTCTAGTGTGTGTGTAGCCATATTAGCTTTTGAAGCCCTTGGGTTTTCTTTCTAGGATTCCTAGTTCAGGTCTCTACTTTCCTACCTGCTTTTCAGCACTTTATTGTAAAAGATTAGGAAGAAAGAGTCAATATTTTATAAATAGAAAAATTCACTTAAGTCATTTTGTGGTGTTCTGTGAGGGTTTGTTTGTTTTTACTTTTTGTGATGGTGACATTAGAATTTTAAAGTCTGTGGAAGTTTTAATCTTAACTCTTCTGTAACCAAAGTAAATTGGTTAAATTAAAGCTTTTCCAAAGCAGCTTATTCTGATGGCAGTTGAATTTTTATTCTGAAAAGTGCTTTCTATTGAAGCAGAAAACATGATTTAAAAAACATGTAACACTGCACCAAGAACCTGAAGACAAGTTGAACTATCTGTGGGGTCTGTTAAGGGAAACACATACATGAAAAATGTGTGAGTACAAGAAAAGCAGTTTTCAGATGATTTGTAAATTCTACTTGAAGCACAAGAAAGTATGTCATTTTGTAACGTAAATTTTTCTTAAAGGGTTTGATAAACTATTTGTTACCAAGTAAAATTTGTCATTAAAATATATTTAATGACACTAAGATTCCATGTTCCGTAAAAATGCTTAGTAAAAAATTGGAAAATATTTGGTCCTGAAAATTTTTATCTAATTTTAGAGATAAAGAGGGTATGGTAGGCAAAAGACAAAAGAAAATATTGAAGGCTTAGGCTTTCTATCAGGCAAGTTCCATATTCTACAGTTTAGAATCTCTTTCAGTAAATGTTTCTGTATAATGTAAATTCTCTTATATACTGAAATAGTATTTATATGAATAAATTAAACTTTCTGGGTCAGTTCTAAAATATGTTGTAAGGTGGTAACTAATTTATTTTATCCTCAGGTTCTGTTTGAGTGTATATAACTAATAGGCAGAAACAGGATACCTTAATACAGTTGGTATTAGTGTTACTTGTTTGGGTTTGATAATAATAACACTTTTTGAAGTTAAAGTGAATTTACAATGAAAATTTACTTTTCATTGAGCAGTCAGTTGAGTAATGTTTAAATTTCTAGTTAAGGGTAGTTAGAATATAAACTTAACCATGTGTGTTTCGAGGTGGTTTTGTAAATAGGGGTTTTCATAATATAAGTAAGTAGATTAAAAAAAAAGATAAGTTGTGTGTATTGGCACAGGGTCCCTGTGTAGGAGACTTTTTTTTCCTATTAATTATTCATTATCTACTATGGGAAACAGTTTGAGGACTTCCAAGTGTCAACAAGGGAGATGAAATCCAAAGTGGGGTGGGGGTGGGGGGTGTAGTGTGTCAGTCATTCATTAAAATTAGTGCAGAGAATGGAAGGGAGCTTTCAGGTAACATCTAACTAGCTTGTTCTGGGATTTTATAGCTCTCTAGGTTATAGTGTAAGATTTGGATTACAGTTACCTGAAATATTCAGGCAACATATATTCTAATTGTAGAAAACATTTTCATTGCTTGAAACTTTTAGAAAAGTATTAATATACTTAGACATAACATGAATACTGTATTGCATAGATATGAGCTTTTTCTTGCTAAGGGAAATTGCTGTGTGTCAGGATCATTAACACAAACACCATTTAACATTATACTTTATGATAGATCTAGAAAAGCACTGTCCACTTTGGTACTACCGGCCACATCTGAACTATTGAATACTTAAAATGTGGTTGGATTGATTTTTTTTTTTTTAAAGATTTTATTTATTTGACAGAGACACAGTGAGAGAGGGAACACAAGCAGGGGGAGTGGGAGAGGGAGGAGCTGACTCCCTGCTGAGCAGGGAGCCCGAGGTGGGGCTCGATCCCAGGACCCTGGGATCATGACCCGAGCGAAAGGCAGACGCCTAACGACTGAGCAACCCAGGCGCCCCGGTTGGATTGATTTGAAATGTGCTGAAAGTGTAAAGATTTTGAAAACCTGTGACTGGGTTCTTTCACTTAGTGTAATGTTTTCAAGGTTCATCTGTGTTGTTGTAGTATGGATCCGTTCTTTTTATTGCTGAATAATATCCCATTGAATGGATGTATTTCTCATTTTATTTCTCTGTTCATCAGCTATTAATCATTTGGATTGTTTCTTTTTGACCAGTCTGAATAATGTCTCTGTGAATAACTCAAAAATTTTTGTGTGGACATAGGCTTTGGTATTTCTTTTGAGTGTGTACCTGTAAGTGGAAATGTTGGGTCATGTGGTAGCTCTGTGTTTAACTTTTTGAGGAACTGCCAAACTATTTTCCAAAGTGACTGCACCATTTTATATTCCCACTAGCAGTGCAAGAGGATTCCAATTACTCTGCATTCCCCGGAACACTTGTTATTGTCTGTCTTTGATTATTGCCATCCTAGTTACTGTGAAGTGCATCTCATTGTGATTACATGACTCAGTGTGGTCGGTGGGGGGAGGTCCCCAAACCCCTTCTAGGAGGACCGTGAGATCAAAACTATTTTCACAATAATTCTGTTGTGTTTTTCACTCTAATTCTTTCAAAAATCAACAGCACACTTTCTTGGACGCTGTAAGATGTGGGATATTGCAACAGATGTGAAAATCCAGCTGTCTTCTACTAGACTAAAGTGATTTGCAAAAGTTTAAAACAATGCTACTCTTCACACTGGGGAAATATAGTTACTTTTCATAAGAATGTTATTTATATTAACATGTATGAGTTTATTGTTATTTTTAAATGAATTTTTTTAAAGATGCCTCAGTTTTAATTTTTAATATAGCAAACATCAGTAGATATAAATATGTTCATAAGCAAAAACTCGGGCTTCAAATTTGTAAGAGTGGTGTCCTAAGACCAAAAATTGCTCAGGTATTTAATAGATTAAATAGGTACTTCTTAGATTGAGGATTGATTCCATTAAGTTGCCATTGTCTCTTGCCTGAAAACTATAGGAGCTTGCTGGTGAGTCTCCCCACCTCACTGCCCCCCCCCAACATTCATTCCTACAGCAATCTCTGAAAAATGTTTATCAGGTCATGTTATCCTCTACTTAAAACTAATAGCTC